AGAAGTTTTTAAGAAGAGACTGGACAGCCATTTGTCTGAAATAGTATAGGATTTCCTGCTTGAGCAGGGGGTTGGACTAGATGACCTCCAAGGTCCTTTCCAATTTTATTATTATTATTATCCTGTCACTAGAGCTCCCTCATCCATTTTTGGTTGCCAATTATTTACAAGGAAGGCATCTTTCTTATCTTTCCCTCCAAGACATTAATCTCTTAGTTTAGGTAAAAGTATTCTTGTTTCCTCAAAATAATCTGCAGTGGAGTTTTCCCATAGTTTCAAAGCTTATTTGATGAATTTTATAAGCTTGGTAAGAGTTGCTCATTAAAATGTGCTTAAACCCAAGGCATGAGTCCTTTTCAGAATCCTGTGCCAAGCTCTCTTTGCCATGCTAGTGTTAACAGTGATATACAGCTAAACCAGTTGGGTTTGCCAAGGCATTCACTTCAAAGCTCCTTATGTTCTTGTGGTGAAGTTTAATTACAAAGAAGGCCTGAAACTGAGTTTGCATTTCAAATGAAGCTCCAGGCCAAAAATACCCAACCAAATCAAAAGCAGACATTGTCATACGATGCCAGCTCAGCACACTTTAAATGAAGATTGTAGATCAAATTTATGTTGTTGTTGTTTGTTTGTTTGTTGTTCAGAACATTGCGCAAAGTTTATCACTTTGACAAATGTCCATATAATTGCAAGTGTGCTGTTTTAGGATTTTTCTCCATTTGTACCTAGTCGCTAAACAAACACAACCTGGCAATCTCTTTTTTTGTACCTTGTCTTGGGCTGCATTAACAGAGGGATAGAATCAAGATCACATGAAGTATTAATACCACTTTATAATGCTTTGGTAAGACCACACTTGAAATATTGCATCCAGTTTTGGTCGCCGCAATGTAAAAAAGAGACTCTAGAAAGAGTGCAGAGAAGAGCAACAAAGATGATTAGGAGACCCAAGCCTAAAGCACATGAAGAATGGTTGCTAGAATTGGGTATGAATAGGGTTGACATGATAGGCAGAACAAGAAGCAATGGATGGAAACTAATCAAGGAGAGAAGCAGCCTAGAACTAAGGAGAAATTTTCTGACTGTGAGAATCAGTGGAAAAAATTGCCTCCAGAAGTTGTGGGTGCGCCAACACTGGAGGTTTTTAAGAAAAGAATGGACAACCATTTGTCTGAAATGACACAGAATTTCCTGCCTGAGCATGGGGTTGGACTAGAAGACCCCCAAGGTCCTTCCAAATGTGTTACTTTGTTGTCTTCATATCGTCTGCATTCACCAAGGATTAAACAGCTTGATCTTTTGCTGTACTAATGTTCAAGTAGGGTTTCTCCTAGATTCTGATATCATACAAGGGTAGCTTTAAAACATTTTAAATTGGCTAGGTTTTGTCACTCATTACCTTGGAGGAAAATCAGATGACTAGCAATGATTGAGGACAAAGGTGATAGAGATAAAGGAGTAACAGGGCTGGCCAATTTCATACAATTATAGTTTCCTGCCAACAAAGGATGGTTAGGTAGCACTTTAATTAAGCAGTGGCAATAAGAGCTCAAATGAAAGTCCATTTCACTACCTGATCCAATGTTTTGCAGCATTTATGATTTTACAAACAGCAGTCACATGTAAGCATCATAAATATTGAGCTAGTATTTTGTTGCCTTTGGGATCTTAGCTGCTAAATTCAGATACTTCAAATATATAGGCAAATAATCAAGTTTATTGCAAGTTTTACTTAAATCCAGTGAAACTTTCTTGTAACAGCCCATTGGTAACATAAAAGATTCACCAGTAAAAGATAATATTAATAAAAGCATGGAAATAACTATCAATCTTGCAAGAACAAGACTAAAGTGACTTGTTTAACATATTATATTTTATAATGAATCAAAGTAATTCAAGCGCATTACATTCTATAATGAAACAAACTAGTCCTAGCCACAATTACTGAAAAGAAATAGTCTCATTGATTTCACTGGGATTTATGTCTGAATAATAAATGTAAGCCTATAACACAGAAATAGAAAACCAGATCTTACTGGACTACAACTTCCAACAATCATAACCAACATTGCAGCAGTGACAATCTGTAGCCTTAGCATATCTACTTTTAGCTCCTTATTTTCATCAGACTTGCTTCCAAGCCAGTTCTGTTTTAATTAATTGCTTCATCCTAAGAAAAACCTTGGGACTGGGAAGGCATGGATTACGGAGTGTAATATATAGCAAGACTAATGTTAAAGAGAAAAACTCAGAGAAAAATCCAGTTTGGATTTTTCCAATAATAGTTAAGATCAGATGGTGTAAAAATATATTTGGACTCACAAAAGTTGCCAAACCATTGTGCCACTGCTGGCATTCCCAGAAATCAGACCATTTTTAGCTCCTGCAGACTCTTCTAAATGTTCATATACTTTGCATGTAAGTTCATTCCAGGTTGAAAAAGTACAAACTCTGACTAACTTGAATGTAAATATTTTAGTGTGGGTTTTAGGACAGGAAAGATAAGATGTTAGTGTTCAAATTTCATTCTTCAGTACATTCAAGATCAGCCTTCTCTAATGTAGAGCCCTCAAGGTGTGTGAGATTGCAGTTCCCATTAATTCTGCAAGACAACAGGGCTGCTCCTGAAACAGCCATTGCATCAGAACAGCTTCTATGTTGGAACAGCAAAATCCAATTTAGAATCCTTCAGCAAGAATCAGCTCAAAACCTCTAGCACAGGGGTTCTCAACCTTGGCAACTTTAAGACTTGTGGACTTCAATTCTGGCTGAGGAATTCTGGGAGTTGAAGTCCACAAGTCTTAAAGTTGCCAAGGTTGAGAACCCCTGCTCTAGCAAATCAACCCTGTAATATCCCAAGTTCGCAGTATTGCTGGCATTTGGTGATACAATATATTATGGGTGGTTGGTAGTTGATATATTTCCGCTCAGGTTAAAGATTTTATTTTCTTACCATGCTTAATAATGAATGATGGACTTTTGATCCCTATTTAAAGATTTTTAAAATAAAAAAAATGTGTATCAGGTGATAAAATTATTTCTTTTCCCTTGAACATTTCCTTTGGATGTTCTGTACTGGGAACAAAGATAAAAACGTCTTTTCTTCATGATTTTGCAGAATTTAGTAACTGGAAAACCCTTCATTGTGCCTCTTTAGTTCCCCCTTTTTTTTAAAAGGAACTCTTCCCCCATTCTGTGACATACTGGTCAACTTACCTGTGTCCTGTGTCATTTTTCTAGTCAAGTGTCCTTTCAGTGTGTAGCTCCTGATTTGTTCTGACTTTCACAGTGTTTCCGCATAGATCCGTTTGTGTTTCATCTAGCTGGGATTTCACTCTACAAGTAGCCCTCAAACTTACAATGAGAATAAGGACTAGAATTTATGCCCTTAAGTGAGGCAGTCCTTAAATGAGTCTCGCCCAATTTTGCACCCTTTTATGCTGTACTCGTTAAGCGAATCACTATAGTCACTAAGGGAATTGTACAGTCATTAAGCAAATCTGAATCCCCCCCCCCCATTGATTTGCTTGTTGGAAATTGGCTGAAAAGATTGGAAATCTCATGACCTTAGAATCTTGCAACCCTCCAATGCCATACATGCCAATAATCAAATGCACCAATTCTGATCACATGACCACAGGGATGGTCATAAGTGCGAGGACCAATTGTAAGTCACTTTTTCCAACACTGTAGTAACTTCAAGCAGCTGTTAAAATGAGGTCAACCTGTAATGAAATGATTAGCAGGGACTTAAGTGGGCTGGTTTCTATTTGTAGTCTATAATGTGCTTTATTATTAATAATATTGCTGTAATATTATTTCTTAAGCATGTTGGAAGTGATGTTTGACCCTGTACCACCAGCATATTTACAGCATAGTCTGATCTTTAAACAACCTTGACACACTAGCTTTGTTGTGCTGTCAAGATTCCACACCCTAGTTCTATAATAAGAAGCCACAATCGCCTAAATTAGAAAAGAAAACAAATCTCAAAAAAAGAGGGAGGGAAATCACAGAGAACACACAAAAAGGAAGGGTTTATTTACTCTAGCCTTCCTCAATCAAGCGCCCTCTGCATGAGTTAGGACTGCATTTGTTGGAAATTCTAGCCAGAGCCCTGAGAATTTTAGCAAATGTGGTTTAGAGACATCTAGAGAACATCAGATGAGTAAAGTTGGCCCCACCATTTTCAATTTTGACTGGACATCGCTTTCTGCCTGTAGCATTTTTTTTCATTGCTTAAGCATGTATTTCTGTAGATCTGGTAATGCACGATCCATTTGAGAGCAATTTCCTTTCTGTATTTAGGGCAGTACACCTTATATTTATAATTATATCTATACATTTGTGTTCATACAGTTGTTGAAGCCATACATCCCAAAGACTGGACTCACACATTATGCCAAGTTAGACATTATGCTACGTACATAAAAAAAAAATCCACATTGTGATAGTGAGTGCAAAAGGTGAACAAGCAATTGGTTTTAGCCCACCTTAAATAATGTGACAGTCCTCAAGGAATCATGAGGAACTCTGTTCAGACATGTACACGTGTAGAACTCTGGTTTCCAAATGGGTGTCTGAAAAAAGAGCACTGTTATCAATTCAAAGTGCATCCTTTGTTCACAAAATAGTTTGGAACCAGTTGCAACTGTTATTTTATTATTGGAGAAATATGAAAATTGTTTAGGGCTTGTAGGGTGGTGGAGTTGTTGTTTTTTGAGAACTCTGGATTTTATCATAATTGTGAATATTTCATATCATGGATAGTTATCTTTTTTGCAATAATGAAGTCAGTAGAGCAGCCAAAATAGACACAAAGTGTTGCATAAAAGGTTGAAGAATTTGTTACTTCATTGGACTTCCTTGCCTAAAACAGTGAAGCAGTTATCAAAATAAGAGTGAAATGTACTATTTACACTTTCGCCAACAACGCTACCATTTTGACTTATTATATTCATAAGTGCCGCTTTTTCCTACTGTTTCGCCTCTCAGATAGTTTATTTTGAACTGCTGGAATTACTGGAATTGCCAGAATCACTGGAACTGCTATTGCCATTAGAATCATCGGAGGCATTGGAAGCACTGGAGCTGCTGGAATCGCTTGGACTATTGGAATCACTAGAGCTACTGGACTCAGAAGAATCACCAGAATCACTAGAGGCACTGGAATCATTTGAATCACTGGAGCTGTTGGAATCACTAGAATTACTGGAGCTACTTGAGCTGCTAGATGAGTCGCTAGAATCTCCAGAATCACTAGAGGCACTGGAGCTGCTTGAATCACTGGAGTCACTGGAGCTGCTGGAATCACTGGAGTCACTGGAGCTACTTGAATCACTGGAGTCACTGGAGCTGCTTGACTCACTGGAGCTGCTTGAATCACTAGAGGCACTGGAGCTGCTCGAGTCACTGGAATCACTAGAGCTGCTTGAATCACTGGAAGCACTGGAACTGTTGGAATCACTGGAGTCACTGGAGCTGCTTGAATCACTGGAAGCACTAGAACTGTTGGAATCACTGGAGTCACTGGAGCTGCTTGAATCACTGGAAGTGCTAGAATCACTGGAGTCACTAGAGCTGTTTGAATCACTAGAGTCACTGGAGCTGCTTGAATCACTGGAGCTGCTTGAATCACTGGAGTCACTGGAGCTGCTTGAATCACTGGAGTCACTGGAGCTGCTTGAATCACTGGAGCCACTGGAGCTGCTTGAATCACTGGAGTCACTGGAGCTGCTCGAATCACTGGAGTCACTGGAGCTGCTTGAATCACTGGAGTCACTGGAGCTGCTCGAATCACTGGAGTCACTGGAGCTGCTCGAATCACTGGAGTCACTGGAGCTGCTCGAATCACTGGAGTCACTGGAGCTGCTTGAATCACTGGAGCTGCTCGAATCACTAGAGGCACTGGAGCTGCTTGAATCACTGGAGCTGCTTGAATCACTAGAGTCACTAGAATCACTAGAGCCACTTGAGCTACTGGAGTCATCCGTGTTGCTGGAGTCATCCGTGTTGCTGGAGTCTTGGGATCCATTTGAACCCCCTGGGCTTCCAGGGCTTGATTGTTCTGAGTGGCTCGATTGTTCTGATTCCTCATCATTTGAATCACTGGAACTACCTGGTGCCCCAGGGTGCTGGTTGGAATTGCTCTCACTAGAATCAGAGTCATCAGCATATCCTGGGTCATCTCCTTGCATGCCCTCATCATATAAATTGAAGCTATCAAAACTGTAATGATCATTAGAGAAGACATCAGCATCTTTTCTTGACTTAAGTCCATTTCTGGTTTGGGATCCCTCAATATACTGTTTTTCAGCAAAGGAATCTGTCTCACGAATGTTGGGGCTTCCTGTTGTGGCTGCTGGACCTAGAACTGCACTGTTCTCTCTCTTATCCTCAATGTAATGTTCTTCAACATTGCTAGTCTTTTTGAAAAGATCCACCTGAGAGCTTTTAAGGTGTTGACCCAGATTTTCCTGTGTATTATACTGGTTGTTATACTGGTTGTTACTTGTGGTTTGTGCAAGTCCTATGCTCTCCTGAAGCAGCAGTCTCTCCTTTGCATTTTGATGCCCTCGGTAGGGACTGAAAGCATCACGTGTAGAGAGTTTTCCAGCTGTAACATGCTGTTTCTTGAGGTTGAGCAATATTCCTCCTTCCTGGGGATTACCATCTCTGTTTTGCTTCCGCTCATTTTTATGGGCAGGATTAACTAATATTTTTTTATCTACATTAGTAGAATTGATATTGTCCCTGGGGTCTCTTCTAAGTACATCACTCCTCTGGATCTGTCACAAAAAAAATCATAAAATATTAGCATGTGAACATATTTAGAGGAGTATTATGCAAAAGTATGGATTTTGGAGCAAACCTCCCCTTTTTTAAATTTGCCTTCAGGAATCATAGGATGTCAATAATTCTTTAGTTTGGATATAAAGAGAATCGCTAACTGAATAAACTTCTTTTGCACTGGTGATTCTCTTTGTATCCAAGATAAAGAATTATTGACATCCTGTGATAAGGATCAAAATCAAAACAAACTCAAGAAGGAAGAACAAATGGAGAGAGAAGAAAGAGAAGATCGAGAAAGTCAAAGTTGGATGGAGTTGATGAGAACCTCAGAAAGAGAGAGATTGAAAGAACACAAAGCCATGTATGACACACTGCACAAGACAGAATAGAAAGCTGGTTGATTTGCAATGGTTGCAAGTCAAATTATGGAGAGCTACGTATACAAAATGTTTTTGGTGTAAACCAGATTTAGTTACATTTCCTTTTCTTAGCTCATGATTATAATTTCTTTATCTTATTACTTGTTAGACTTCTTTTTTACACATTGCATAATGACAGGAAATAGCATAATGGGAATAAATATAAAGTATCTTTTGCAAGGCCCTGAATACCTAGCTTGCTAATGGTCTGGGGACCCCAGGGTAGGATGGAGTCCATCAACTGGCTTATTTGATTGACTATTGTTGGGTATGTCTAGTCCAGTGGTTCTCAACCTGTGGGTCGGGACCCCATTTGGGGTCGAACGACCATTTCACAGGGGTCGCCAAACAAGGATGTCCGCCATTTTTTCCCCCTTTTCTTTGGCCACGCCCCTGGCACTCGGTGATGTATAAGTGGTTGGGGGTCACCACAACATGGGGAACTGTATTATGGGGTCGCGGCATTAGAAAGGTTGAGAACCACTGGTCTAGTTTAACGAAGAGAAGGACGAGAGGGGACATGATAGCAGTGTTCCAATATCTCAGAGGCTGCCACAAAGAAGAGGGAGTCAAGCTATTCTCCAAAGCACCTGAGGGCAGGACAAGAAGCAACGGATGGAAGCTAATGAAGGAGAGAAGCAACCTAGAACTAAGGAGAAACTTCCTGACAGTTAGAACAATTAACCAATGGAACAACCTGCCTCCAGAAGCGGTGAATGCTCCAACACTGGAAGTTTTTAAGAAGAAACTGGACAGCCATTTGTCCAAAATGGTATAGGGTTACCTGCCTGAGCAGGGTTTGGACTCGATGACCTCCAAGGTCCCTTCCAACTTTATTATTATTATTATTATTATTATTATTATTATTATTATTATTATTATTATTATTATTATTATTATGTTATTGATTTTTTATTGTTTTTATATTGGCTTTGTAAGTTTTTATCTTTGTAAGCTGCCTGAAGTCACTGAGAATCCTATACATTTTCTTAAATAAATAAGTTTTATTATAGTCATAAATCAGCACATGGTACATACCAAAATTTGCAATCAATTCAATAAGGACAATTTTAACTGTAAGATATACCTAGATAAAACTTTATAAAACCAGAAAACACAACATTACAACTAAATATAATAACATAAAAATGAAATACAAAACTTTCTAGTAATTTAGGTAAATAACACAAACGATAGAATTATTTGGAAAGAAAGAAAGGATTAAAATAATAACATCAATATGAAATGAATATGAAAACTGTGTAATTGACATTCCAGGTAAACTATGCCCACCACTATGAGTTTGATCCTGACCAGCTCAAGGTTGACTCAGACTTCCATCCTTTTGAGATCAGTAAAATGAGGACCCAGATTGTCCTCTCTGAGCAGTTTACACTGGAAACTGCTCAGAGAGTGCTGTAAAGCAGAGGTCCCCAACTTTTTAGGCACCAGGGACCGGTTATGTGGAGAGAGGTTTTTCCGTGGACCAGAGGGGCCGTGGTTTTGTGTGCTGCCTGCATCCGGCGAATGGGGTTTTGCTTGTTTGTGCGGTCCACTTGCTGGCATGCTGAGGCCCAATACCGGTCCATGGACTGGGGGTTGGGGACCCCTGCTCTAAAGCACAGTGAAGTAGTAGATAAATCTAAGCACTAGTGCTATGTAGGATAGATAGATTTATTAATGCCTAATTTACTTCTCATTTTTTTATTCTTTCCAATACTGTGCCACAGATTTTTAGCATGGGGTAATCTTTGAAATTGCCTGAGACTGCCCCCACCACAAAGTTTGAGGAACTTCCTATGCTCAAGGGCCACAGGTTGTCTACCTCCATTTTAGGGGATGGGCAGAAAACAGCATTAGCCAGTCAATAGTGGAATGGCATAAAACCATCTCCATTACTGACAGATTACTTAACAAACTGCTGAATGATGCTATTAAATCACTAACATGGAACAGCCAGTGAAGTAAAAAGAAAAGCTGAATTTCCACTCTTGCATTTGTACTCATGTTTTTCAAAAATGTCTGCAAAACATACGATGAGACTAAATCAGTTATTATATGCCACAAAGCCATCTGTTGTCAATATAGCAATTTCCCAATTTTTAGATATGTAGCCATTACCATTCCCAGAAATCCTAGTCAGCATGTCCATAACTACAAAGAACATAAGCAAACAATCTTATTGCAAGCATGTGAATTTTGATCTTGTAGAGTTTTTATGAATTAACATAGTTTCCACCAATTCCCTTGAAACTTCTTTTCTATTTTCCCATGTTTTTTCTGAACAAGCCATTTTGCAAGTTTGCTCCGGATCTAACTACTTGATCATCAAGCTTATTTAAGCTGTCTATATCTAATAGATGTAGACAGCTAATTTCAGTTGTAGTTAATTTTTGTTACAGTTCAGTTCACTTACAGGAGAAGCAACAACTAGTCCAAGAATATTGATAAGGAGAAGCAGAGTCTTCATATTTGGTATTGTAACCTATGAAGAAACCAAAGTACATTTTAGCATTAATACTAAGAAATGCATTTCATAATACAAATGTTGACAATATTTATTTCACTCTGTATAATTTGCCTTCAGAAACAGAATGTTTGGTAAATTCAGTCAGCAATATTATTTGAGCCCCAAGAGTCTTTCATAGAATGAACTTTTGAGGACTGATGGAGATGGAACTGTGTAGAGACTGAAATTTTGTAGTAGAACTAATAGTTCCATTTTATCATTGTTTCATCCCAGAATAACTGTAGTCTACTGGACCTCTACTCTGAGAATTTCTCTTTAATTTCAATAAGCTTACTCATCCCTAAAATAGGGTTTCCTGCCTGAGCAGGGGGTTGGACTAGATGACCTCCGAGGTCCCTTCCAACTTTATTATTATTATTACTAGATATACATACGGGAATAGCATTCTCTAATCTAATATCTTTCAGCTGGGATTTGTTTTATTTTATTTGTTTTATTCACACACAAACCATTTTTCAGAACAATTTACATGGAATTCTCTCTTCCTTTGATACCCCTAACAACAAATTTTCAAGGTAGATTTTGGGGGAGGGAGAGAGAGAGAGAAAGAGAGAGAGAGAGAGATTCACTGACCCAAAGACACCAATGAATTTTCATAGATGAAAATGGCCTTTAGCATGGATCTCCCTGAGCCTAATCAATAGCTTAATCACTATACCACGTTGTTTCTATTACCAGTAGAAATAACCTATTCCTGTTATTAGCAGCGTTCGTAATATCTAAAACATCCTCCCCCAAACTACTACTTTCCTATGTTGGGACTGCATTTCCCATAATTCCATAGTCAACATAGGATTCCTAGAACCAAAATGGGGTGGGGTGTGATATCAGATTGGGAGAACAGTGTCAGAACTGGCAGTTGCCATTTTGTCCTCTGCAGAAGGCTGAAATTGTCCCCTCAGAAAAGCCTGAAATAGTACATTTGAGACATTTAGGAAAAATAAATGGTTCCTTTCCTTATTTAATAAATTGTTTATTTTATTATCACCATAACAAAAGTTTAAAGTTATTAATAAAATAAGTACATGGGAATTCAAATACAGCTAAAATATACCAAAGCATATATAAAATTATATTAAGATAATATAACAATACCTCCTCTGAAACTATCCTTTATAATCCGTCATAATCAGGATACTTAATTTGGCTTTGCTGCCTGAGATCTCCACCTCCTGATTAGTTAGTAGGAGACTTAGTCATCCTATGTCCTCTCCAAATATCATGTTGAAATTGGGAAAATATTTATACAGCATGAATATGTCTATAAAAAGGCACTGCAGCAATATATAATAAGGACTTATTATTGTTTTGGTCTCTCTGGGACAAAGTAAGACATTTTGAAAGTCAATCACTCTGTACATTGTTAAAAGAACTATCTAGCCATTGAGATTGGTGCAAGTAAGTGAAAGTCTACAAAGTGGACTTAAGGTGAAAATG